TCAAGAATTTAGAGTTTGTTCACAGAATATTTTTTTTTTATTTGTGTAGGATAAAAATTAACAGAGATGTCGCTGGTAGATAGAAGTTTGCAGTTGAGGGCGAAGGTCATGTTTTACCCTAAAAAATAACGCTTTAAAAAATATTCAATTTTACAGTACTTTTAGTTGTCGAAATTTTCCGTAAAATCGTTTTTGAATCGTCTTAATAGCTTTAAAATTAAGGAAGTTATCGTTACCTTACTGCTTCAATTTTAGGAGCATATCAATATTTTGGTTATCCACAATTTTGGAGCATTCATAGGCATAGAAAAATTTTAAACTATGACTTATTGAATAATTATTTTGAATATTGCATAAATTAAAGTAAATCCCAAGAAAGAAAGATTACGAAAAAAATATTTTGCATTGTTTATTGGATTATTACATTTTGTCGTTGGGGGTGGTTTTTAAGGGTTTAAAACAATGCGATAAATTATAAATTGTATTATAAACAGGTAAAAGAATTTCATTTATCCTGTTTTTTTAATGTTTTGTTATTAGGGGTAGTTTTTTAAGGGTTGAAATATTGTAATAAATTATTTATAACACCATAAACTATTGAAAAGATTTCTATCTATAATACATGAGCTATAAAAATATTTTAAGGTCGAAGAAACTATTAATTTTATATTTTTATCATTAAGGGTGGTTTTTAAGGGCTGAAACTTTATAAAAATAACGTAAATTATAACTCACAATATAAAATAATACTTATTCCATACATATTAAGATATGATTTCAGTCTATTTTTATATTTATTCAGTTTTTTAGCAGGGGTGGTTTTCATCCCCTAAAAACAAAAAGCACATATCAAGCATATATAACTTTTCATCTAAAAGGTGAAAAATCCGAATTTTGTCAAAATTCCCGGGTCAATTCGTGTTTTGACCCTAACATCAAGGCATTCCACTGGAAAGCGGTTTTCGAGATTTCAAACTGATTCAAGTGGTCAGTGATTGGAAAAACATTCGATTGTGATCTCATTAAAGGGTCTTAAAGAATTTTTCTCACTACTGAGAGAGTGGGGATGCTGAAAATGATTGTGGTTAGTACTTCTCCTGAAGTCGCTTTGGGGTGCGAGTTTGAGGTTTCTGGAGCTTCCTAAATTTCACTATTTTTTGGAAAGTATGGTGAAAATTTTGATGCCCTTCTGCGCTGTTGGAGGCTTCTGTGCAATGATGAACATGCATCGTTGTTGTAGCCCGATACGTTGGCGACTTTTGAAGACAGTCATAAATGGCATCTTAGCGGTTTGGCGAGAATATTTCAAAAGTGTGGTGAAAATCGTATCTCCCTACGCCGTCAAGGCGGCGTAGCGCTATGTCGCTGCGCATCAGTATCGTTTGGTACATTTTGACAGCAATTGTGTCTCTGCGAAGGGAAAATCCGGAAATTTTCGAAACCTGGCTGAAAAAGTGGTTTCCCGCTTTGCATCCTCCGATCTGGGTAGTAAGTTATCTGCGATGGTTTGTCTATGGACTCATTGTTTTGTGGTGATATTTTAGAAAAATTGGTGAAATTTTTGGAAACATGGGTGATTTTCGGACGATGAAACGGTCACCGTAAATTGAAGATGTGGCAATAAATATTTAAATTCTAAACTACAGTCCAATTACTATAAATTTTATTTGGAGCAATAAATCGGAAGAGGCGGCAAATATATCTCCTTTCAGAAAAATATACAGCCTCCACCCGAACCAGAAGCGACTTTTAAACAGGGCCTTCCGGCAACGTCCCTTAAATCACTTGGACAAATAAAAGGCCTAAATTTCGGGAATGTTTACCGAGGCGTCCCCATTACGCAATTAGTGGTCGATTACACGATATTTTCCGTCCCGGGCCGCATGCAAACAGACCCACACTGAAATCTGCGATTCTCCCAAAGCCCGGTCGCGTCAAAACGACGAGCAAATAAACCATCCCGCCCGCTCCTCCACGCCCTGAAATATTTACATTGTCCGAAACAAATTGCTGTTCAAATGTTTCAAATTGTGTAACATTTACATAAAGATTTATCAAATGGAAGGCGTACGGCGCTCCGGATGGTGTCAAATGGGCCGTCTGGGATGACTGTGAAATGTTTTCATGGCGCTAATTACGGATGGGACCGCTTCGAATGAAATCCGAAGAAAAATGCGGCGAGATTTATGATACTGAATATTTAAATAATGAGGGCTTGTTCAAATGCAGAAGTCAGGCATTAAAATTTATGTGAGATTGTATTATCGTTTGTATTAAAAGTCTTTCAATTATTATTTTTCATCTTTGTAAGGGGTGCCCCGTGAAAAATGTCGCAAGCTGTACAGGTTGTTTCTGAAATAAGTGCGTTGATTCAAAGGGGTAATGGAGGGGTAAGTTAAAATAAAAAAAATTGGTTGTAAAATGTCTTCCACCCTAGTGAAGATAAGTTGTGGTCTTTCTTCATATCCTCACTACTTGTATATTAATACCATACCCGCTAAATTTTAACTTGAATAAGGCATTATGAAATAAAACAACTTAACTCAATCTACAGTTCAGGAGAGCAAGCAAGACACATCCACGCACGTGCTCTTCCAGTAATCACACCGAGCTTGACCGTTCGTTGCAAGCAGTTGATCAGTTGATTAAGTGGGGGTGATACAGGGTCGGCCTATGTTTCGCGTAATAATTCGTGATTAATTTTTTGAAATACGTGACATCTTAGATCACAGGCTTGTTTAATTTCACAACATTTCTTAATACGTAACAATTCTGTAACTGTATTCCAAAGAATCTTAATAACAGCCTTCTTGTAACCTCTAAGTCATAATCCTTTAAAATTAGTACCAATTGAAAGAAGAAGAACGTACCCTCATTCTTTTCCGTCTTTTTTTTTGCTGGAGGACTCAAATTGCTTCCAACATGACGCTTAGGACTTCCTTGTCTTTTCGGGCATTTTGGAAAACTCTTTGAACTACTTTAACTTCATTACTTTATTTTGAATAACCGTATCTAGTTTCATTAGTAACACGTTTATAAAACGCAGTAATTTTCACGGTGGATATTGTGGAATTGTATTGCATACTCCGAGTGAATAAACATCAAGTATGTTAACCAGGAATGCTACGCATTATTCATTCTGGATACCACAAAAGTAAATCAACAGTGCTGCAGCTATTAAAGGAATTGTTAAAATAAACTAATACACAAAATACCAAAATTGAAGTGGCAGACTTAGTTTACGATACAGTCGGAAATACTATGAATATTTGGCTTTAACAAAAAGCATAAACTATTTTCTTTTTATCCATTATTGTCTGATTGATAACATTTTAAAAGATGTAAGAACATGTAAGAAATACAGTTTTTAGAAAAAACATCGCTGGCAACTATGTTATTTGACATTTTTATTTTATTTTAGAGATTTACAAAAAATATTCCATTGGAATACATTTAAATGATAAGTTTGTGTAAATTTAGTTATACTCCGAGGCCAAAATTATAGAGAGTGACTAATCGCTAGCTTTTGGACTAGTAAGGGGGATGAAGCGTGCCGGGAACGAAAATCCATTGGCGTGCGTGTCTGCGTAAAAAGCAAGATATAGAAAATATTAAATATAGATAATAAAACATAACATCTAATATTTTTTACAGTTTGCTATAACCTCACTTGATCCATTTTAATTATTACAACATTTTAAAACGTCCCAGTTGTGTTTTTTTAATTTATAAATTTATTATAGCCATGGAATTAGACACCTCGTCTACGCTTATGCTATGACGTTTCTGAGGACTCGTAAATCAAGTCCGTTTACACTCAACTAAAAAACTATTCCCTTATTCCCTACCAAGTGCAAAAGATAGAGATAGAATATAGATCGACGTTCAGTGTAACTCAGTCTATAGACGATTATATATTCTATCGATGTGCGTAGCGAGCGGCACAAAGATAAATAATATTGAACCATATAAAAATCATTTTATATTTTATACGCATTACGGTAATAGTGTTTTTATATTGTCTGAATCACTCTTTATAATTTCGACCGCGGAGTATAGATTTTTTATTAGACTTCACCTATTCATTTTCGCTTCTAAAGGTGAAAATAACAAATATCGGGTATAAGAGAAAAAAAAACTTTTGCATCGATTAAGCCATGAAAAAATTATACTTCCACATATATAGCTATAGCCCACTAAGAACCAGGAGTTACTCACTAAAATTCTTGTCTCAAATTTAACTGATTTATAATACAGAATGATTTCTTTGTATAAGTTTTAAATGTATGAAATTTCCGTTGCAGTTAGAAATCTAGAAGACATTGGAAATGCCTAAAAATGAAAAATTATCCAGTTGCTGGTCCTGCTGATTATGATTGACGAGCAGTAGAGTCTGCATACAAAATTATGTTGATAATTTTGGCGGAATTCATATTTCCGCGCAATTTTAAATCCATAAGCAGACTATGCTAATTGTCAATTGTAATCAGCAGTGTCAAATTGCCTTTTAAACAGAAACAAAAACGTTTAAATTCTGTTTGTATAGAAAAATAGCCTGCATTATAAGTTGACAAAATTTGAGACATAGGAGTTTTAAATTATGGTGATATAGGTGCAAAATTTTTAATAAACTATCCTTAAAGTGATTTTACCCAAAAATCTCCCCTTCAGAAAGTAGCAGCAGGCTATGGGTTGCTTACTGGAACATCGTAATTCGTTCAGCAATACATCCAAAAGGCCTCTATAGGGTGTTAGAAGTTTGACTGTCTTAATTTTAACAGACGATAGAATACATTAAAATAAACAAAAAACGTTATATGACATGGGTCCTAAACTTAACCATTTCCGAGAAAAAAATTATCAATTCTCCAACTGTACAAAAATACCGATTAATTAAGGAATATTGACATAAACTCGAAAACTCTAAACGTTATTACTTAATGCACATTTAGGAAATAACTCCATCTTTTTTTTTAATTGTAGTAGTAAAAATTATCCCATTCGTAGTTTCTTTATATTACATATTTCAGGATCATCAGTCATCACTAATTAATCTCGCTAATGTATTTATATACATACAAATCATGGGTTCGATTTACATCTTAATTTAACAAAATAACATCTGGAGTTAATATTTTCCCTTGAACACATTCCACTATTCCATTGTATATTTCTTGAACCACCATTTCCAGCTCATTAATATTGTCGTGTTCGCATTCAAATAAATAGTCAATTAATTCGTTCACTTTTTTTTCGGCCTCGTCGACGTCTTCCCTCAGTTTAGCAGGTACCTCGGTAGCTTCCTTTTGGATAATTTTTATGACCTAAAATTACAGTTAGTTTTATGTAGAACAACAACAGATAAAACATTAAAACCCTTGTTAATCTTTGTAAAGTTACGTGCGCAGTTTGTCCAAATTGAAATCATTATTTATATCAGCTTTTCATTGTTTTGCGTACAAAACCCATAATTAATTTTAGTAGTCCGCAGTTCCGATATTATTATCTGATTTTATATGTAATTGGAAATAACTATTGAAGTTATATTTATAATTTCAATGGATTACATGAGAAATGCACGCAAAAACTGTATTATGTTTGGGATACTGCTGAAAATATGAAGCTTTGTTATTTAACATTAAATGAATTTCAATTTGGAGTGTCGAATTGTAAACCGTTAGTTGCCACCTAAATATCATAAGCTTTCCAATTTGCGTTTACTGTATTTACTTTTAAAAATAATATATTCGCTAACTGCATTCATTATTATTATCAATAACAAAGTTATGACTCTTTTATATAATCGATTGTTTTCATAATTCATATAATAGTGTTGTTTAATTTATTGTAAGTGCTGAGATAAGGCCGTATCTACAAGATTGTAAATCGAAATGAAAATTCTTTTCGCTTTATCTCATAGTAATATAAAAAAATTAAAGAGAAAGTCGAGAAATTTATTATCAAAATATTCCAAAAACTAAAAAAAAGTCCGTACTGTACAGTGTGTTATTTTTATTCGTGTCGGATCTAACAAAAATATATGTAGTCCTTGATGCAGATTTCAATATCCTAGATATACTTTTCAGTCAAATGTTAACAAAATTACCTCTATAATACAAGCAACAGCATTAGAATCATTTTCACAATTTTCTAATTGTACAGTTATGTTCTTCACTTCATCATTTACGTTATGAATATCCATTACGACAATTCCCAAGCTATCCAAAACTTCATTCACCCTATTCACGGCACAATCTCCTGTTCTATTTAGGAAATTCGCCAGCATATCCTTCAAATCCTGTTCTCGGTCTTCTGTACAATCTATGATGTCAACGGCGATAATATTGGCTTCTGTAAGTTTAATTATTTGGTTTAATCGTTTTTAATTAGTTAATTTATATCGTAAAATAAAAATCCTTAATTTTTCTTAAAGTTAAAAAATAAAAAATTGCGTTTTCTAATAGGCAGTCGTCAGCAGCAAAAATCATTTACCTTATTTGGTATCGAGACTTTAACTGATTTAGAAGATATTAATGCTGTATCGTAGGAAGTTGGATTGACCCCTATTTATTTGAATTTGAATATATTGCGTTAATTTTGACAAAAGAAGGCTCTGCATATGCTAAATATATGTAGAGGGAAAACAATTTGATGTAAATACTGAACAGCTAGAATATCATCAAATTGAGCCTTATGTAATTGAAAATGAATTTCAGTACACAAAAGGTTGTAAAAACAATTGATTTCTATGAAAAATTATACTATTCCTTTGACATTAAATGAAATCGTGTCGACTTTCTGTTAAAGTAAAGTATCTAACCTTTTTTTATCTCGTCTAGTTTTTGGAATATTTCATCTGATAGTTCATCAATTTCGAATTTCGCAAATTTCAAAATCAGCCTTTCAGTTGATCTAATAGTGGATTCCAGGGTTTTCAAGGTTGTAAAAGAGACGTTTGTGAGAGTGTCTACGATTTTTTCTAAAGCTTTCAGAGCAATTTCAGCGATATCTATAATTTTTTCTTCGTTCGTATCGCCATGTAATAAAATGTCACACTGAACCTAGAACAAAAACACTGTATTGATAAGGTATCAATAGAATTTAAAGTACGTAAGATTCCTTTTGATTGAACTTACCTGTAATAATAGAAAAGTACTTAACACCGAAAATAATTTTAATGAAATCATTACGCATTAACAACCGATTGCACTTGACAATTATTGGAACTATAAAATAAAACTAAACTACCAAAGTAAATGCGCATTATAGGTACAAATGTTTATATATAGATATCTATTATAAACACTTTAAGGCTGATAATAAGTTAATTGATAAATTATGAATCACTGCGCTGTTTCTAGGAAGCTTGCTAGGTATAAGGATACTGATGGAAAGAGAAGCATTGTTGGTAGCATACCTGTTCAGGAACAATAACGACTGGAGATGTATTCCCAATTCCAGGATTATGGAAACATCTACGTGGGAACCAACTCTGCGGATGATATTCGACAAAATGATTGCAAGGTTTTACATCCACCAGCCATTCGAGATTCGAATAGAGGATCTGAGCAAGTGGGAACAAAAATTCGATACCTTGGAAAGATGTAGCTTGGTATGGTTTAGGGATGACTTCAAAGTGGTCAAATGAAGGAATATGGATACAGTCTGGGTCAATTTCCCACTGTATTTCAATATAAACTCATACATGTTCTTTGGCAAATAAGGATTTAGATACACAAGGTAAATTCAAAACTTGTGCGACTGTACTGGCTACTACAAATACAGTTACTATGGGTTGGGCGCCAGAACACAAAGGCATTGACGGAAACGACGAGAGAAGCGGATGGACTTGCTAAGAAGGGATCCGAATAGATCTTCCAGTGTGGTCAGGGGGCCTCTGGGCAAATGCACTGAGCCAGAACATAACAAATACTTAGAATGAAGCTCCTGGGAAAAGCCTTATTGGAACGCAAGCAGTTGAGAAAAGTGTCAGCAAGGAAGCTTTTGGACATTGTTTAAAGAACAAAGCAACTTGCTTTTACAATCACAAAAAGAAGAAGAAGAAGAAGAAGGTATGAGGAATCAGGCTTTTAATGTTACGAATCTTAAAAAAATGTCCCTTTATATGAATATAATTTTGTTTATTTCATTTTAATTGAATTTTACTTTGAATGTCGTTGTAACCTAACTCCGTTATATTTTTAACCGTGGTCAAAATTAATTTTGAATAAGATGTTTACTTGACTTGATAAGTTACGTTGTATAAGAAAATGTGACAGAACTAATAAGAAGACGAAAGTGAAACAATAGAAATGCAGTTTGATTTATTTTGTTAAACATAATTTTGCCCTTCAACATAGCATTTTAAAATAATTAAACGCTGTTAATATAATTTTGTTTGACACACCCCGCTACAGATGAAATAATTTCTTGGAACTTGTCTATCAAGTTAGTTGAAGTATCTCGCTGACATGAAGACACAAACTTGTCAATATTTTCTTGGAATTTCGATGCTTCCACCAAATCATACACGACGGTGCTTAATAATTCAATTAGTTCCTTCTTTATTTCATCCTGTACCTAAAAAAGAAGAATGGTAATGAAAAACAGTTAATTACGAAAGTATTTCCTAAACTCTTAGGATGAGGTTGGCCTTTCAGAACTACGAATTGTTACTTCTTTGTGTAGTAACTGAAGCAGTTGCTTTACAAAAATGACAAGAATACACCTCATTTTAAGCGAATTGGCTGATACTTTTTTGTACCTGATTTTACAACTTCAAAAAATTTACAAGAAGGAAAAATGTCGAAAAAAGCCCCCTTATAATAAAAATAAGACCTTACGTTATAACCTACAAAAAATATGAGTAAATTTGACTATTTGTATGGGCTTTTTTCAATTTCTATAAATACTTTGCTACCAGTGACATAATTGGGCTCTTAAGGATTATTTTCGAGCAAAAAAACAAATTTACTATAAATGTGTGTTTGCAAATGGTCTAATCCTAACCTGGTACTATCTTCTGTTTCTAAGAAGATGATAAAATTACTTTTACATCATTCATAAAAATACCAAGGCATTAATTGATATACCTGTATTTTTAAGTTTTGTTGTTCACTGCAATCTGTAAAGCGTTTTGTTTATTTTCCCAATTATCTGATCTCCACTAACTTACATAATAATTACAGTTGATAGATGTTCAAATTCAGGAATGAAAATAAAACAGTTTAAACTAAAAGAAGCTGTCACATATCAGATCTACCAAGAACAATTTGAATTATTACAAAGCTGCTTTTTCAAGATATAATTTACTCTCTTTGCATTCAGTAACACTTTTCGATTTTTGCTACAACAAAAATATTACCTCGTCAATACATGGAATAGCAGTTTCATCATTTCCACAGCTGTCTAGTTGATCAATAAAGTCCTTCATTTTGTCATTAGTATCCTTGATGTCAACAAGTATGGGTACGTAGGTGTTGGAGGTCATTATTAAATTTTGAGACTTACATGTTACCAACTGGGATAAGAAATTAAAAAGCACCTCTATCAGATCATCGCCTTGTTCCTTTGCGCATTGAATAACAGCTTTTGAGGCGTCATTGGCGCCTGCAAATCAAAAAATAGTTAGGAATGGTTTTTAAGGAACGAATTTTTATTTTTTTTTTACATAACTTTATCATTAATTGGTGTATACTGAGAAAACTGTATAGTTAAAGCAAAATTAATGTAGTAGTAGTTTAAGATAAAGTAAAAATACAAGAGCTAAGGATAAAATATATTAAATACAATGCTGTTGGGTACTCTGTATGCTCAATGACATATTTTGAAATTCGAATTGCCACTAACTTATAATGTTCGCCTTACCGTCTTCTATTTCATCCAATTTCTCGGCAATAACTTTCCACAGGAGATCGACTAGACCCTGTTCTATATCGTGCAAGATTTCCTCTATCTTGCCCACATAGCTACTTAATCCATTGATAGCACCAATCCCAAAGTCTGTTATAATACCTACTACTGTCCGGGCAATTTTCATTGCAGTCGTATTTACAACTACAATTACGTGGCTGTCATCGTCATCGTTCGAATCACCTGTGGCTACTTTGCAGTGAGCCTAAAACAAAAAATGTGACATAATAATATTTTGTTAACCATAATGAAAATAAAAAAACACCAATTGCCATTGGTGGCAATGGCAATTCTTTAAAAACATGTATTTATAGGAATCCAGTTCACACTTACATATATCTAAATTTTAATTCAGATCATGTTGATAATATAAAGAAAGCGTAGTTAAATGTTTGTACGATAGAGCCAAATTGATCTCTTTTAAAGATGAAACTTTTAATAATTGAAATTCATAAAAAATGTTCTAATAAAGAATCAGTACCCTGGGAATTTTGTTGAAAGAGCTTTTAAGGATATTGAAAGCAAAACACAACGAAGATCCACAATAAAAATTCCATACAGAATAAAGAATATGTAACACAGTTAATATTACAACAGTTTCATTTCATTTTTATTTATGATTATTACCAAATCATAGATCAAAATGTAGGTACATAACACTTTGTATTATGTACTATAATTATATTTGGAGTGGTTCGTGTGAAGTAATTAACAATAATTCTGATTTCTTTCAAGATGCTGTTATCATATTTAAAGAATTATACAGGGTGCCCCGGTACTTGATACTTGTTTTTTTTTTCATACGGGCCTTCGTTAACAAGTTACGGGCCCTCAAAGGTGAAAATTAAAAAGTTATTTTTATTTACAGTCTAAACTGTTAACTTCATCATGATGCAAATTTGGTGATCGATAACACATGCGCACAGCTTGTTTTTGATGCAAGTGAAACTGAATTATGCCTAGAACGCCAGGGACGGACTATGCCTAATGGCGGAGGCGCCAGTCGGTGTGCAGTGTGGCATAAAATCACAAATATTTCCTAAACTGTTAATTTTACCGAGTTGAACGAAGAGGGCATTATCGTTGGCAAATCCTTCAGGGAAAATTCTGGATTGGGCACAGTCTGTCCCTGGCGTTCTGGGCATAATGAAGCTGTACGAATGTGTTATCGATCACCAAATTTGCATCATGCTGAAGTTAATAGTTTAGAGATTGTAAATAAAAATAAATTTTTAATTTTCATCTTTGAGGGACTGTAACTTGTTAACAAAGGCCCGTATGAAAAAAAAAAAAATATGAAGAACTGATATTATTTTGACCTCATCTATTTGTACGCGACTTTTTTGTATCAAGTACCGGGACACCCTGTATAGTAATATTTAAAGATACATATTTAAATTTTCATTTTAAAGTTAACTTTATTTATAAAGGGAGTGCCACAAGAACGGACCAATCATCCCATCAATCAGTACGAGGCCTGCTTGTTTTTTTATTGCCTGCAATTGTTTAAATTTGGCAACTAATCTTTCCACAGTTGTTCAGGTCGTTCCTTCTACCGAAAATTTCAGTAATTTGCGCACAATATCAGCTACACACTCTTCGTACTTGTAACGAATTTTCACAATCTTCACTCGCTCATCTGTCATATAGCGCTTCATTTACAATTAGTCTAATTGCAAGGTATTTTCTACAACATGTGATCCTGCACAATACTGCCAACTCTTCGGAACGAAAATGGCGCACAATTCAACTCCTGTGTTACTTTTGGGACACCCTATATAAGAGCGTCGCTTTATCTGAGAATGCACTTCTACGAGCAAGGAATAAGATGGTAAGGTACTAGTGTATCTTTTTTTGTATTATACACCGTGTCCACCTAGTGCGCGAAGTCCAATATCTAGGTTAATAAAAGATATCTTAATTTTTTTTTCTACAAAGCTGGCTACTTTCCCGAGCTGCACAAAATGAAAATATATTTGCATATAAAGGGTGTTCAGTTTTTCCTGTGCAGATACCAACTTAATTTTTTTAAATGGAAACCTATATTTCGGTGTTATTTTACACCATCCTCAGGGCTCGAAATTTGAAGTTTCTTTTGTCCAACTTAACAGCTCTAAATATTAAGAAGATGATATCTAGATACTTATATGTGTATTTATAATTCATAGTATAAGTATCTAGATATCATCTTAATATTTAAAACTGTTAAGTTGGACAAAAGACACTTCAAATTTCGAGCCCTGAGGATGGTGTAAAATAACACCGAAACGTTGGCAATGATTTAAAATATAGTGTTCTTTTATTTATTGATCTTTATCCCACTAAAACCTTGACTTGGATAACTAATCAAGATCGCAAAATAGTGGAAACATAATGGT